AATTGTAATACACATAGCCCTGTTATTATTCACATCTAATTAGAATGGAGAAAATAGCTCTAAGGATCGGTTTCAATACCTGAATATTGCCTTTAGTGCAGATAGTTTCAAGGTGGTACAAGACATGTTATGGTGAATGGATTTTAAAAGCATGCCCCTATAATACCAGAAAATAACATGGTTCAATGGTTGTACTCCACCATATCATTAAAAAAAATTCTCTTTCCTGTGAGTGCCTCATGTTTTGGTTTGAAAAGTCTTAATATGGCATCATATTAAATGATTTTCAAATCCAAACGTCCAATTTAGAGATTTTTTTTGGTGACCATGAACATTTGCAAGTTGACATATTACGTGCGAATGATATAAGGAATCCCAAGCTGATTAAAAAGCAAGTCAAGTTGGCCACAGAAAATACACAAAGCATTTAGAACACCTACAGCCAAAAAAACCCCAAAAAACAGCACATCTTTACCTGTATTTAAATCAGTCTGGAGGAATCCAGCTTTAAGATATATGTTCAATTACTCATACCTGCCAATCAGATATTTATCTTATGGGGGAGTCAATTAAAAATTTGAAAAGTTCAAAGCACTAACAAACCTGTAAAGAAAATTTTGAACTGAAAATAGCCAATGGAGGTGGAGACAGATTACAGCCTATCATGTGATGGCTGATTTCTAAGTTTAAATTCAATATGGAGGTTTCTTTTTACATACTACATACATAATTGGTCGAGGTAACTTGACTGTGTATTAGGGTCACGGATTTCATCAATTTGCACCATTCCAATTTTCAGTCATACGTCTATGGGACACAGGCTGTAACTCTTGTGGATATTGATATAAATTAGGGCCTTTGTGATGGTGATAGTGTAATTGCAAGAATTACATACACCTGATTGAAAATTGGAATGATGCTAATCGATACCATCAATATCCCCTATACACATGAAATTTTTAGAAAATCTCTTTACAATCCCTTTAACTGATTTGAATTTCACACTCAATACTCCTGAGCTTAGTAAAGGGGAAGGGTATGGGCCTCAAAAAAACAATTTGAATAATGAGATGGACGGGAAGGTCATTTTAAGTCCGGACTTGTTGCTCTTGTGTTGTCCCTTCTTGGTTATGAGGTAATCTCAAGATCTGGAAAGTGCAAGAAGTTCACATGCATTATTGATTATATATATCTCTTGACGATGCAAAAAAGACAACCAATATGTAGAAAAATTAAAAAAATTATTCTATTTTCAAAGAGAAAGAAAAACTCCTAAGATTATTTTTTTCAATTCTGAATTGCACTAGACAAAAGTTCCATATTTTCAAAGAGTTCAATGTCATTTATCAACTTTGATATTATACACGGTGGGGTATTTTCATTCTCATTTTATTTCTGGGAAATTGATAGGTTAGATTGATCAAAAAAAATTATAAGATGTCTTTTGATTTTGACAGAAAACAAAAGACTTTTTCTTCTATAAGAGAATATATTTTATAAAATCATATAGTAAATCTTTTTTAGAATGAAAATCTTGTAATATTTTCTTATGACATTTTGTTTTAAACAAAATGAATTGATAAGATCTCCATTTTTTGTGTATTCTACTATATATTTTATGACCTGGATGAAAATTTCTTGTGTCTTTTTGGATTTGACACATACGCTTATTAAACCAGAAATATTAATTTGTTTCGTCTGTCCAGTAACAATCCTTTTTCTTCTTTTTTGCATGACATACATACACAGGACTGTCCCTTTAATTTGGCTAAATTGAGAAATATCATCTTTATAAAATATCAAATTCAGAGGAGTGACTGTCCCTTAAAATTTCATTTACATGCTTTCTACAAGGTTAAAATTGAAACATAAAACTGTAAATAAAATTAAGAGTGACTGTCCCTTTAAATTTAAATTTAAATTCTTTGTGCCAGATTTAGATAGAAAATTAAAAACTGGGTGTAAATGGTGAAATATTGTAGAGTGTACCCCAGGTTGACTGGTACAGTTTTATTTACTAATCTATTTACCACCTTCAATACTGAATATAGAAAGTAAACAAGGACATGGAAGAAAGGAACATGTCTATACTCCCAGCGGTCGTTGATATAGATAGATAATCAAGTAAAACAAAGGAAACCTAGACTTTTATTATATATTCTTGATTAGTTTTTATTGTCAACTATGGACCATCTTCCCACTACCAATAAACATGTTATTGTTGTTGACTTGATTGAAATATTTGGTACAAAGCAACATTAGTGATTATGTCTTCAGATTTTACAAAGCAGCATGGTCGTCAGATTTTTTATGTGCTTCGGGGACAATGATAGCATCAAATTTCACCATTCCAATTTTCAGTCAGATGTCTGTGGTTCCTGCAATTCCAATAAAACTAAGTGTTTGATGATGTCACTAATCCTAAAATATGCTTTATCATATATGTCCCTTCACGATTAGTAACATCAAACACTTACTTTTAGTGGAATTTCAGGAACCACAGATGTCTGATTAAAATTTAGAATGATTCAAATTGATGCTATCAGTTTCCCTGATGCATATAAAAAATGAGAAAACCTCTTTACAATCCCTTGAAGCATAGATAGTGAACAACTTAGTCTAATTTAAACCTCTTGGCAATTATCTTTCCTCGATTTACCCATTTACAGCTGGGTTGACTGGAATGCCTTATTAAAGATCACCAGACTTTCTCAAGCCAACTGAGATTAGAACCTTCGATCACCATTTGCTTTGCTTTCCGAGAAAATGACATAAAGATTCCAAGTCTCTAACCGAATGTGCTACAACCCTTACTTTAAAAAGTCAGTTGTATCTGGGTTGAGTCAAACTTTGTCTTGATTAGTGAAGATGACAAATAGTAAAAAAAGTGTCTGTTGTTTACTTGGCATATATTTATCTTTAATTGTTTGACTCAGTTCTAAGTTTGAACATTTCACTGACACAAAAATACCAAGGAATTCCATCCAGTTTTGATGAAAATATGTGGAAAAGGTTGTAAATAATGACGGTCGTTGAAATATGCAGAGTTATCAAGGAATTCCACTATAGTCCCGATCTAAGTTCCTATTTCTGTTTTATTTGCTGATCATGTCCACTGACAGATTCTTTCTGGTGACCGGCTGTCGGCTGGTTTGATGCAAGCGGTCTAATTATATTTAACCATCATGTCCTAATGGAGCCCAAAACAGATGTCTGTTGAATTTCTAAGAATGGTTCAAAAAGCATTAGAGAAAATATTTTATTTTCAATTCTAATAGAAGAATCCCTCTTGTTGAGTTTTTGGTGTTATAGAAGAAATTCTCCTATAAAAGCAATGGCCAAGGTCACAAGAAGAGAACAATTCTACAGAGGGAACATGTTTAATAAAAAAAAAAATAGATCTTTTATTTTGTGTAAATGGAAAAAAGACAGTTTTTATTTCCAATGTAGGCTGAAGACTTGAAGTGGAGGTGAACTTGTCATTTACACACCAACCTTAAGACCAGCGGAGAATGAATTTGACCCACATTAATCTGCTAGTTCACATCAAAAGAACTTCAACTTCTATGAATCTTGTGCTCTGTCACTATTTCAGTCAAACTCTAAAACATCTCTTAATTCAAATAACAGCCAATTTCCCTCGGCGTATTTTGATGTTTGAACCATAGCAGTTATCCTGAACAGTTTGCTAGTAAATTAGAAAAAAATAACCTGAAATAAGTATCTTATCGTTGAAATTTGCACACATATTTCATCGATTTTTGAGTACTAATTTTCTCGAATTCATTTTTCCATTTTACTTTAAGGATTATCTGTAATTTAACTGTAGACTATTGTGCCTACATAATATTGGAAATATTTGAAATACTTTCCTTTGTTACTTCATATAAGATACATGAATTCATACAAATATCTGTATGTGTGATCCTCAAAAGCCTGGATGAATATGACTATATAAGCTTTTTTCTATAATAAATATCACAATATGTCTGGATGAATATGACTATAAGCCTTGCTGAACATAATTGGAAATATTTAAAATTTGATTAGAATAAGCAGACAGTCATGTTCAAAGCATTATTTAACATTCTAAACAAACCAGTATAAATATTTGACTGTGACCTAGTTTTTTTCATCTCCAGATTGTGGGTCTGCCCAGTAATATGTAATATGAAGGCCAATTGTAAAGTTATTATTATTTTGGCTGTCTGCCAAGATTCAGTATAATTTGTATAATGAAGAATAATTGAGGTCACATGGGGTCAATGCCAGCTGACAGACCCGCTGGTCAAATTCTAATAAAGCTTGTCAAATCTCATGATGGTGATGGTGGATGTTTATATCCTGATAAAATCAAAAACAGCCCCCAATTTTAAAATAAATGCCCCTATCTTATATTTAAATACTATAAATAGTATTACTATACAAATTTGAATATTCAGATATACAATATATATTGGTTCCTCATGCTATTTTCAAATTATAAACCCCTATGTGTAAAAGTAATCATGTCTATCAACATGTTAAAATACTGGTTGAACAGATATCAAAGTTGCATATTGTATATCATTTTCATAGCATTGTAAAGCCTGATCTTTGAGATATATTTCCTTTTGTAAGTTACTTTGTACACTAAGTACGAATTTCCATTTTAACATATTAACCTCAATATTTGTGAACATTTAACCCTGTGCCGGTGCCGTTTGTTGGACAGTAATTTGTTATATTTCAGCCACCCTAATCTCTAAGATAGAGGAAATTTTAATGGTTTTCATGCTGTATCAAAAAAAGGGCTTGAAAGTTTTGCCTGCATACCACAAGCATCTGTAATGGTGTATTTATGTATCTTGAAAATAACTCTTTCAAGGTTGTATCTGCGTGCGACAAGCGTCTTTTATTCTGGGTTAATGTATTCATGCCAGACAACTCTTACAAAGTTTTGTCACTGTGCTGCAAGCATATTTAATCGTATACTCATGTTTTTCATCCTGTACTTTCAGATGTTCATTTAAATTTGAGTCAACAAATGCAACATAGTCCCCAGTTATTATCAGGAATTTTAGCCGCTGTAGAAGATTCCGATCGCAAGGTAAGCCGCCATTTTTTAAATGTAGTTGATTTTATATTTCTCTAAATCCTTAGAGGAATGATAACAACTTATTACAATTGGTAATTAGTGCACGTTACAAAAATACAGACAGCCAAATACAAACTATATGGTCTTCTGGTATCATTATGGAGCAAAAAATTAGAAATAAATTAGAAAATTCCGAAATAGTCTAGCTCTTTGACTTGCATACTTAGTTCTCTGTAAATCTCCCTTATAAACTAAGCTCTTTCAATTAAGTGCAATGTAATAATAAAAAAATGTCCTTGAGATTTGCATGTTCCAATTAATTCTCATGACTGAAGACATTTTCATTCGTAGGAAAATTTCTCATAAACTCTCTGAAAATGCAGAAATTTTCATTAAAATTGAAACTTTAGTTTTAAAACGAACTGAATATTATAAGGTATATAAAAAGCCTTTATATAAATCATCTTGTCAAAATTCTTCTGCTTCTTTGCTGTGTTTTAATGAGGGCATGAAAACCATGGAAAAGTGCAGGCCTGCATAATGTGTTAATAATGACGAGAAAAGAGAATAGCACAGCATGAATATAATGAGTCTCTTGGTATTTTATGCACATGTTGTGTACTTTGCGTGCATTTTCAAACGTAAAAAACATGATACAAAAAGGAAAGTTGGGTTTCAATGAGATTGAGTTTCTTTAAAAGTCGTTTCTGTAAAATTTATGACTAGTTTGTGAATTTACAAGTTTCTCCTGAAATGTACTTAAAGCGACAGGCTAACTGATCGTAAACTTCCTTTAGGAACAAATTACTTGAAAATGACTTATTTTCATGAGAAAATTTGATGCATGTAGAAACATTGCCATACTTTGCATAATGCCTGTTCGAATTTGTGGGAAATCAAATAGCCAGTTTAAAACTTGACTTAACAAAGCTTCTTAAAAAGGCATAGTGGGCTAAATCATCTTCACAATGGTCAAGGTATTAGGAATTTTGTCTTATACCTTGACTACAATAGCCACTATTCAAGTATCACCACAGTTTGTAAATGCAGTGATTGGATTGTAAACTAGCGAATACAGTAAATCAGAGCCATCTTCAGAAAGTCGTGAATAATAAGCCATAATGTTCACAGTTTTTCTGTCAGGTTCTAATTGGCTGTTTCTGCTAGCGTACAATCCAATCAAATAGCTGCATTCTGTGATTCAAGAACAGTGGCTATTGTAATCAAGGTATAAGACAAAGTTTATATTACCTTGGCAACTATAAAGATGAAGCTACATTTGATGTAGGAATATAGTAGACATTGCCAGTTTAAAGATGAGAATCTTTATGAAATATTGTTATGGAGTTTTATACTTGAAGATAAACGTTAGATCAGATATGAAACGCAGCCAAGACTTTATCAAGCTTTATTTAGGACTTAGAACTGTACAACATTAAGGATGCAGGAAAATGATAAGATAATATGTTTGGTCTTTGGTTATGATAACTGTTTGCAAAAGTTAAAGGGCCAAGTTATTAAAATTTTGAAACACATCGAAACTTTTATACATCTTTCTTCCTCTTGTCTTTTGTCCTGTTTTTGTTTTGTTCTGTTGTGAACTAGATCACCCTTGAATGCATCTTCACAATGTCAAGTTATTACGAACTTAGTACTTATACCTTGACCACAATAGCCACCATATTTTTATGGATGGAATATGCAACAATTTGATTGGATTATATGCCAGCAAATACAGTCAAATAAGTCAGTAAACAATAAGATTTATTGTTGAGATATATTTTCTCTTTTTGCCTTCCTTGTATAACTTTCAATTGGTTGTTATGTAGAAGTTGCCATCTTGTACTTTGTTTCATGTTAATCACAATCCCACTGATCAACACTTTTCAGCTTTTCTTTTCCTATTTTTTGTCATTATTTATTATTATGGGTTCCCAATAGCAACATTTTCTAACCTTGTTTTATCCTCATTCATGTGGAAGTCAATTTTGATCTGGGAAAATAAATTTCTATGGCTTTACTCTGGTGAATAAGTTGTTTCTTTGAACAGAAATTGCTGTTTTCATGGTGAATATTTATAAGGATTATGACTGATAAATTGAAAACCTTGAGCGATGTATTGGCAAGTCTATGGTACACAGGTGGTTATAGATTATTGTATGTTTGCTTGGTTGTCATGGTAATGCATTTATTCATGTCACACAGGCCCACCATGTGACTAGTTGTGTCGGATGTATATATGAGGGTCGATTGATAAAGGTTTAGACTAGACCATTGATAACGACCATCCATCTACAAATAAAATGTGATAGCTTCACTTTATCAAAGTTTACATTATTCAACAACTTAAAGCTACCATTGAACGTTTTTTTTTCTCTTGCTTTATATGAATTATTTCATTATAGAGAAAGTGTCTGCAACCATGTCACCAAATTTTCACGCTTTTTCATCATTTTAATTGATCAATCTTTTACCAATATTTTGGGTATAGATCATCAAGATTTTCATACATGGTGTAGGTACTTTAAATAGAGTATGATGTATAAAGGAAAATATTTAGGTTTTATGTTATTTTGGATATAAATCCATAAATAACAATATATCTTGGCACAAACAAGGTGATATTCCCATCCTGTTCTTGAGCAAAAAAATTAAGCATGGTTGCTTTAAATAATTATCTATAAAAGAAAATATTGAAGTTTTATGTTGCTATGGATTGTTTTGGTTAGTTATTGAAATATGTATTCTATGAATATTGATTCTGTGTAACGTAACTGTCAGCCCAATCCCAGCAAGCTATAAATTATTTGAAATTCTATGTGAAATCTCTGATATGCTTCAAATATTTATTGGGGTTCAAAAATCAATTTCTTGTTGATATGGACATAATTGATGCCATTCTGAAAGCAATATGTGTTTGTTGATTTCTGAAACAGTAGAGCTAACCTTTACATATTTTGCTTTCTTTGTGTGTTCTTTGTAGCAAAATGTTTCCTTGTTTTTTGTTTTTCTTTACTGAATGAATCAAGTCAATAACAACGGAACTAAAGGCAAAACAAAACACTTAGAAACTGTTTCATGGAAAAATGTTTTTCAAAAGCAGAACTGAACACCTTTCAGTATAAATAACATGAATTTTTAGACCTTTTAATGATGAAATGTCCAATTTCAACTGTCCAATGGAATTATCAAAGCTGGCGCTCAGAATTTAATTCAACGTCATCAGCTCTCTTACATTCAGTCACCACCTATTACTCCAGAAATCAGGTCAAATTTTTTTCTCTCACTATAGTCGCTTTAAACATTTCCTATACAGTGTATTTTCCTCTTGTCAGCTGGAGATTTCCCTTCTCCTACCAATGTATTGATTATTCAGTGCTTAAAGGAACACCACTGGGAAGTTAATGGCAGCGATCAATAACTCTCGCTAGAAAAATACCGAAATTGATATTGGTACCATATAATTTCCAACTTGATTTACTCCAGGTTTTTAGATGACATTTGGAGACTTTTTATTGTGTAAATTACATTTTAATCTCACGTGAAATTTGAAGCCATATTTTTGTTATTGAAAGTACGGTACTGTAATATTATTGATTTCTGATTTAAAGATACGGTTCGTACAATGTTCAAATGGAATAACTCTCATGCGTTTTCAAAGACAAAGAAGATCCTGTTTCTAGCGTGAAGTCAAAAAAAAAGCTGGCACCAATGTTCAATGCAGACACGCTACAGTTGATCTTTTTTTCTCATTAATATAACAGGGACAGTCCACATGACTAAGTTTTTAGTCAGCAGAGTATTTTTTCATCTACAGCCATTCAACAGTAATGACAGCAAGAAAGCTTTGATGTTGTTTTATATTTCCTCTCGTTTTAAAGAATTTAGAACTGTGACTTTGGGAACATATTAGCTTTTACACAGCTGTGAAACTCATTTCCATATTTTAAAGAATATGTAACATTATATTAGAAAATATCTATAAAACCTACAGTTCCACAAAGACAAATTCAATATACTTAGTTATTTCTACAAGGCAATCTTTTTTTTATAAGTATTGAACTAGTATTTTAAAATCAGATTAAGAACATTTTAGTATTCATAAAAAATCTATTGAAATTTGCATTTTATTCGATAACAGTGGAAAAGTAGTTCAGTTCACATGAATGTGGGTCACGTATCTGTGTTACGATTGAACTTTTCTGTCACATGTTCAATGCCTGTTTGTTTGTATAGATTTATAGCAGGGATGCTGATGTATCAATATTTGCCAGTCATGTCTGCTCAAGATTTGAAAGCCAAACTTTCTTTAGCAGAAAGATTGAAAGGGGTTTGTGTAGATGCATTTGAGGGCTATTCATGTACCAGTCCTGCACAAAGATTTATATCCCCTCCAATTCTCTTAAAACGAAGAAGAAGAAATTCTTAAAGTGTTTTTATTTTCAAAGTATTGGTATACGAGTCAACCCAGATTCACAATTTTCAAATAAGCAGAGAGCAGAACAAAGGTTCACCATTTTATACTGATAATAATCAAAGTTCTGTGGGTCCCTATCTATCAGCTGGCCTTCCTGTATAAAGAGGGATATTCACAGTACAAGGATACAACCCTCATGTTGTGACTTAGATTAGATAATGCAGGTAATTCATTGTAAGAATAGCTTGTGGAAAATTAACCTGAACTATGAACAAGAATCTTTGTGAAAATCTACAAATTATTGTATTTGTGAATTGGTCTAAGGTATTGCTAGAAAAATCAAATTGAAACACTGTCTAAAATTGAAATTTTCATGAATTTAGTATTCCCAACATTCTTTTCGTTAGAAAAGCAAATCTCATAAATTGCAGAGAAAATATTGGAATATTAATATTTAAGGTTATTGATCAATGCCAAGCTTTCTGGAATAATGAACAACCAAATGGAAGTCCAATTATCAATGTGCAAGACACATTTTTATACGCCCACATCTCTCTATGTGGACATATATTGTCGGCACCCCCATCCGTCCATCCTTCCATCCGTCAACATTTGCTTGTAAACGCTCTAAAAACTAGATTTTTTGATGGAATCAAATGAAATTCGGTATGTGTATACATATTCAAGATCAAGTTGGATGAGCTGTTTTCGAGTTATCGCCCTTGCCCCAAAATCTTGAATATTTACCATCTGCATGCTGTGGTGGGCGTATATGGCTATACTATCTTAGAACTGATTTTCTTTTCATGCTGTTTTCAAATTTGTCTTCCATACTCTTTCTGAATTTGCTTTTCATGCTGTTTCCAAATTTTTTCCATCATACAAGGACCTGGAAATTGAAAACAATGTGGGCTATTTATGCAAATTAGCTCTTGAAATTTTTCTTTTTTCATGGGCAAGCTGTTATAGTAATATTGATTGGTTGAGAGCTGTGTTTAATAATCACTAACAATACCTCCAATTGTTTGCAGGCTTGATTGGTCACATGACTACATTGTGTAGCCAGATGAAAAATGGGTGAAAGAAGTAGGGAGAAATCGCCTGTATACAAACCAGTGAATAGTGAAATATCTTTTAGCCGTCAGCCTTGCCATATGTTGTCCTGAAATTATTGAGCTACGTAATGATTTCCTTCTCATTAAATATGTACCAACGTTCCTTAATCTACTCTTCAAACAAAGGCCAATGGAGAATGTCGTCTGCTTCGATAAAAATGGAAAAAAAATTGTCGTCTGCTAGGCTAAATCCCTGACAACAGGTGGACTTGTTAATGTGCATTTTGCATTCACTAATTGCATTAATATATTTTTCTCACCAATTGATTTGAAGAGAGGAAGCAAAGGTATGAACCAGATGGTCTATTTATAGTAAGCTTAGTTCAGTATGATAAACTGAAAGTAGACTATATAAAACTGTTATTTTTAAGGTACTGCATTGTTTTTCTATATAGATTGATTAACAGGTCTTAATTGGTTGACAAAGACCATTATTAGGTGGTGTGGGCAGGTGGTTTCTCACAGGTCTAAAGATATGCCATGGATGTATTAATTCCCTCATAAAATATATTGAAGAAAAAGACTAGGTCTAGTTTGTTGGAGGAAAATATTTTAAGTCCAGAGTTTGAATGAAAATGAATAAAGAAGTTGATAGTGTAAGTGATATTGTTAAGAAATTGTGTATTTAGTATCTTTATATCTGAATACAAGGTTGGTAAAGTCTCTGGATTTCTTTTTTTAAAATTGAACTCTTTTAGGAAACCATGGGCAGTTTTACTCTCCGTTATGTTGCAAATGAGACTCTGCCTCTGTTCCACATGAGACTTATGGTCTCAATTTTAAATCAGTCTTTTGGTCTGTATGGCAAATGGGACTCAAGTGGTCAGCACATGTTTTGCTCATTTGTCATGTCACTGTTTGATATCATTAATGTTTTCAATAAATTTTACTTTTTTTCTACAAATGACCAAATTTGATTAATGTAACATACTGATGCTATAATCCTATTTTATTTTGAAATAAGCATTGTTATAAAGATTTAAAATAAAGTTGAAAGTAGAGTTAAGTGTGATTGGGAGATATGTTGTTTTATTTGAACTTGATTGTCCAAAACTCGTAAATCATGAAGTTAGACTTAGCCCTAAATGTTTATCACCCCTTTCCTACATTGAAATAAAAGACCCACAGGTAAAGGTAGGTTATGTAATAGTCTACACGCTATGGTTGAGTGCCTGACTATACAAGTCTGAAATCTTTTGATTTGAGAAGGGATCTGGAGGCTATACAATCCCCAAGTGTAGAGTGTCAGTCAGTGAACTAGCTAGAGGCCAAGCGTAGATTGAAGAGAACTGAATGAATCACTAGAGAGAAGAAGGAAACAAGCCAAGTGGAAATGAAGTTGACACACACTAGTTTGGTTGAAGGTTGATAAAACCGTCTAACAGCAGGCTATGATCAATGGGTAGGGCTGGCTAGATTGATAGAGGAGACTTTCATAGCTTTAGTGACTGGCTCGCTGGCTCGTTGAATGGGTAGGGCTCTCTATACAGCTCTTTTATCCTTTCAAACTCTACTCTAGGGTGTGTTAAGGAAACAGAATTTAATGTGCCTGCGTAGATCATTTATAGACGAAAATAACCAAGCAAAACGTCTCCTGCTCTCTTTAATGTGTTTAAAATACCAACAGCGAGTAATGGAAATATAAGTTTAAAGTGGCAAGCACAGAATATTTGAATATCGTGAACTTTAGACAAAACATTAAGCTAAAGTATTCAGACTACTAAACAATCGTGTTCTACTTCAGTAGGTTTGGAAAATCAAGTAATGTCCATGTTGAATCTATGGTTACCTCAGGAAATAAGGAAGTTAAAGTAACACATTCAGGATTATTTTTCTAAAAAAGACTGAAATCTATTCGAAAGTATATTATACTCGAAATTTCTGCATCAGCATTTGAACAATTGTGGTAAAACTTGTGATATTCAAAATAGGAATTTGGCTGTTAAAGAAGAGAATAACATTAGCTTAAAGTGGCACTAGAAAGAATATTGAAGACTCTATAACTTATATTAAGCTTCAAAATAAAATTATTTGCACATATTTCATGTGTTGCTTGTCTATCTAAAACTTGTGCCAAAACGTAAGATATTTGCCAAGATCTCGGTATATACAAACCAGTGGAGTTAGTTTGGTTAAAGTGACATACAGGGGATTTAGTCAAAACTATTTTGATATAAGAAGTAATTTTTGATACTTTCGAAAATAGTAGTTTTGAGTTTGTTCAGAGAAATCTTATATGTGTTATATGAAAAATACTGTGGAAAATTCATTTCAATACCATGACTACATTAGCTTAAAGTGACATTTTTTTTCAAAAATCTATGAAACTTAAATACATATTGAAATTATCTCATCATAGTAAAGAATTATAGTTGGAGGAAGAAATCTTTGCAATTTATAAAAGTTCTGCTGAAAACACAACATATTTCAGTCCAAATACCAAATAACAGTAGCTTAAAGTGGCAAGTAAAGGATTGTGAAAGTAGCTTTTATCAAAAACTAAAAAATTTGAAATAAGTTGTCTACACTTGCTGTGTTGAACCAAAACTGTGCCAAAAATACTATTTTAGTAAGAACAGTTTAAAGTAGCAAGTATAGGACTAAAGTTTAACCCATAAAAATTTTTCAGAAATTTATTAAAATGAACTGTTCTGTTTTCAAACTTTTAAAAAATATTATCTAGTGGTTTTAAAATTGTGCCAAAAACACTATTTTAGTTACTAGTAATATGAGTTTAAAGTGGCGTGTATAGGAGTATAGAATACCGTGCTGTGTGTAGGTTGTGTTTGTATTGAACACAATAAGCCTCTAGCTCTTACTACACTACTTTACTGTATGGTATATAACACTCACTCACTCTCTCACTGGACTACATAGTTTAACACACACTGGTGTGTGCTACATAGCTTTCCACTCTTCCCTCCATTTTGAAGGGAAAATTCAGTGATAAGTTTTATAAAGTATACTTTGTGAGGATCAACTATATTGTGTGATCTACCATTTTGAGATATTTAGAATTCTATTGGAATTTAGTTTATATGGTATATATAATATAAAGTTGGCCATACATCAGTATATAGGAGTGTTTGGACGAGTCACGGTCAGTGAAGTAGAGTCTTAGTACAGTCATACAGTGAACAGAAATACGTATATATATCAGAAAGGATAATGTTTAAAACAAAGTGAAACTTGAAACAGGATTTTTACTCAGTGAGCGTATGATTTCTATGGATTATTTGAACGCTATGGAAAATATGGAATATAAATATAAACTCGAATCTTCTGACGAGGATGTTAAAGTGATAAAGGTTGGTTTTGGTTTAGTTTCCTTCGTTTGATATAAACATGTGGGTTGGGTTCAATTTTTAGACCCTTCTCCTAGAGTATTATGTTTTGATTCTTCTATATGTTCCATGATTTTAAGTCTGAATATGAAAATTTGTTTTGATCTTGTTTTAATTCCACCTTCAATATAACAGAATAAGTTATTTTGTATTTTGCAGGTTTTTTTTTAACCCTTTTTCTGATGTTTTTTTAAATTTTAAGGAAATAATATACCCTTCAACAAATCCCTTACTCTCCCCTTTTATTTTCTCTTCCTAATCTTAAAGATGAAGCTTAGCTTACATATTGTAAATTCCAGTAGTTAATTTTTGTTCATCACATTCGCCAAAGAACAATGAGTAAATCTATGTTTAGATACCCAAATTGTCAGGTTATAGAAATAGGGCAATTTAAATGAAGATAATGATTTCCTTTAAATGGATGTGGATGTTTCAAAAATTTGTGAAAAACACCAATGAACACTTTATGTATATAACCATGGAAAATGTCGGGAAACACACTTAAAATCTAACAGGAAATCTCAAAAAAGGGTCTGGACTAGTCAACCCTGATTAGAACACCAAACTGCAATCAACAAACAATTTAAACTAATACTCATTTTCCTGTCCTGTTTCTTGTATCCTGGTGTAGAGATAAACAGACAGAGTCAACTGAGAGGCTTTTTCCTTCCATTTTATCTCTTGAGTCAGTTATTTGTTAGTTGTTACCAGATAGGACCCTATCCTTTCTCCTTCCTACTACCCCCCTTACATTTTACAGTCTGTTTCCCAACCCTTCAGTTGTTTCAAAGGTGATTAGGTACATTGGGGTTTGATTTCTTGTGAAATAGAATATAAGGTAACATTTTCTCTTATGCCTTGGCCAGATCTTTCTTGAGTTATCTCATGTATTTGCCTCTCACGTTACTTTTATTTCTTTTAAGGAGAGTTTTCTGAAAATATGAAAACTTAAAACATGGTAGGAGAAATGTCTCAAATATATCATAGACTAAAATCTAGATATATAGAATCTAAGCTAGTGCCTTACAAGACTGTGTTCTTATCAGTCTTGAATTCCTGTTAGAGTTTACATAAAAAAACAGGACATTCAGTGAATCACCAAAGTTTTAATTCTGATTCACCCTTCACAGACTCCACTTTCTCAAAACTTTATGATGTTCCTGTAGTGTCAACTGAACTTGATAATCCTTGTTATAAACAGTAATTAAAATCGTAGCTCAGGATTACTGCTAGTGGTTTAAAACAATAGAAGTGAACCATCCTGTCATAAACTGAAAAGGTTGAATTGTTATTACAATGGCTAGGATAATAAACCTATGTTATTTAGTCTCTTGCTAAATCCTTCATAAAATTATAACCCCCACCTTGGTAGGGTTAAATCTTTAAATCTTACATAAAATATTAACCCCTATTATGGAAGAGTTAACCCCCTCAAGCATGTGATAAAATGTTGGATCTGGCCACTTTATCTGGTTGAAGGATGTGACAAATACTTCTATTTATAGTCTTTAAGATCCCTGTGAATGCCTTTCCCTTAATCTTTATGTGAAAAATCAAGCCCCATCATTTTAAAACAGTTCCTTGAATTGATATTTCTTAGTAAGACTTCTTACCAGATTGCTATAGCCATTGTATGTGTATTGTAGACACTTATACCATTCCAATGAATTTGAGTTCCATGACAGTTTCAGGAACCACATATGTTGGGTTGAACTTGCTATTTACTCCCTCGTATTCAACTCAGGTGTTGCTGGTGTTGAAAGGGTCAGAGTTGATCTTGCAAGCAGAACTGTGCTTATCACAATGGTCTTTTGCAAGGCATCACAAAAGAATGTTATTGTGACTCACTTTTCTTGACCAAAACATACTATAAAGTTCTCATAAACCACATTTTTGGTCACCTATTTATTTTATAGTGCAAGAATGATAAATAGCAGCATAATAAACAGGCTGCATTAAAAATGAGTTTATGTTTATAGGCCAGAAATGATAGATCTGGTTTGTTAGAGTTTAGTTTAAAGAGAGCATAGTTAGTTAGTTTGAAGTCTCAGTTTTTAATTATATAGTACTGTTTTATATCTGGTCTGTGAAATGTTTAAGTTTATAAGGTTATTTTAAAAGTATCTTTTTGTTTCACTTCTCCAGAATCAACCTAAATATTTGTTTAGGTACATATTTTCTGAGCTAACATATGGCTTAAGATTGGTGTAATTTGTCTGAAACAACTCTCAAAAGCACTGGCACAGCATTGAGAAATAAGCCTTCCCATCATGAGAATTCATTCGCTTACTGACTTGTATGTCAAATGAAGCAATAACTTGAATAAATTGATACACTGAACGAATGCCTTCAGAGTACAGTGTGGTTCTTATGCACTCGTAAGTGCAAGTGTTGTGACCTGATTTAAATGATATACTTTCAATCTTGTATTAGAATTTATTTGCCAGCCATTTCTGATTGAAGCCTCAAAATGTAGGTCCTGGAGACATTTGATATTCAGATGAACCAACCTTTGAGACTTTTTAAAGCCAATGACAAATTTGATGTGTATAGAAATTTATGACAGTGGCAGTTTTCAACATAAATTATTTTTACAAAGAAGCCATTCTTATACATTGTCTATTTTAAATAGGATATTTTATTCGGCAAAATAAATTCAAAATACATTCTTCTGCCTTGCCAGATGTACTGATTACTGAGGTCTAATGATGCCAGGGGCACTGGGATTTTAAATATGTTTTTGACATGTTCATGGCATTTTAAGATTAGGTGATTTTTGCCGGTTATTAAATAATAACTATCCTCAAGGGGTTTGAAAATAAAATTTGGGGTGTGTTTAAATCATGGGGGTTATCTTTGTGAGGGTTTGTCAAATCTGAATGAAATATTTTATCTATTTCCTGCCCATGGGGAAATGGAAGTTGTGTCAAAGGGGAGAACAATGGGAATAATTTATGAGTTTAAAGATACCAAGTCTAGTCTAATGTAGTGGAGATATCTCTATAAGCTTCATTAGTCAAGACTTCAGACTGCTTGACATGCAGTCCACGCCACTAGTTATTTCAAATCTTTTTTAGTCTCCAAATTTTATCAAATGTGTTTTGATCAGTATTTAAAAAGCCAAGAATTTAAATTGCTCAGACAATTTTAGAATGAATTTCACTTTACCATTTGTAGTTAATATTATTTTCATTTGCTTTGACCAAGACAAACTCTAGAACATTTAGAACTTGTCCAATTTTGAAGAAAGGTTTCTGTATTTTGGAATGGTCAAACATTTTCGCAGATCGGTAATATTTCAACATTCAGTTCTTTCCGCTTTTGCTCAAGCATGAAATTATTACTTATTTAAAAAAATAATTTCATTTGAATATATATTACATTGTTAGCCATGATAATTGTTTGGATTAATCGTACATTTCATGGTGTCTTCATTAACCCACTCTGGAGCAGAAAGCACCTGTTCAATAAATATCTAATTTTCAACTTTCCTGTATTTAGAAAAGGAAGTCATGCCTCAGAGATGTTTTTTTATTTTTAGTGACAATCCTAGTCTTTCAAAATTGTTCAAAAAGGAACATTTTTCATTGGTATATGAGACTCTGAACAGGATGTTTTCCATGAAATATTAACATTCAGTTGTTTTGAATCTTTTTACATTGATGTTTGTTTATTAGTTCATATCCTGGTCCTACAATATTGCTGTGTAGAATTATGTTTGGCAGAGAATGAATAGGTACTTTTATAACTATAGACATGTCCCCTTAGTATCATGAAAATTGTGAAAAATTTAGATATTTAATATTTATTTCTATTGTTGCATTCAATCAGGCAGGTCTCCTACTAAAATAATCGTACACATGTCTCTTTAACTAGCTTTCTTATCACCAGTATTACATTCTACCCATGTACAAATTTTACCGAGGATGTGGGTTTTAATATGTTGACCCAGATTATATGTGGGTTGTATTAGATATGACCTTTATTATGATATTGATCAAGTATTTTACACTAACAGATTAAGCTGGTCATATTTCGCAATTTTATGCATGCTGTTACTTTAATGTCCAAATGTTCTGCACCGTTTGGTGTTTATCGCTTACGCTGTTATTTAGATATAGTTTGAGAGGTCCCTTGATAATCAGAGGTATTTATTCACAGGTTAGTCCAGGCTGCTAGAAGCTTAAATCATGTTACCAATATATCGAGCTAAGAATATTCAGTTGGCTACAGTATTCAAACTGAAGAAGTTGACTCTGTAAATGACATGAAGCCAAAGGCTGTAAAAATCTTAGAGATGCATCTTTAAAATTATTTTGAGGGTGTGTCTGCCATTTTAGCAACTAGATTAATTAGAGTTTAATACCTTTGAACTTAAAATAAGGCTGTAAATACTGATATTGCTATAATTAAACCATGAACCTGGGGCTAAATTATACTCAATTATTCTTGTTAAAATGTTAGCTTGAGTCTTGGCAAAATGGTGCAAAGGAAATCTTGGCAGAGGGAGTGCATTTGGCAGAAAGATAACTAGCTTTTTTGCCACAAGTTTTTGGACAAGGACCATCTGGTAGAAAGAGTTGACATTTTCTTTGTAATATATAGTTGAAGACTTTAACTTATGGATTATGATTTGGAGGAGGTCTTGTCAGTTTTCTTCTAGTGTTGAAAGAAAGAAATTGTGAGTTGTACAATCAAGAGACTATCTATCCCTGTATCCTGTTTTAAAGTGTCTATCTCCATGTTGAATCATTTTAATGCACGATTTTCTTTTAGAATGAATTCAAGTACAAAACTTGATTTTATTATGACTATATATTATTTGTTTTTAATTTGAATTTATGATTTTGATGTTTTTGGTAGAATAAAAACATTAATTCTTATTCTGCAGACACTTATTTTCTTGTGCCTTTATTTCAGATTAATTTCATCAGTAATCCATATTTCGTATTTTTCTCATTGCAGACGGAGAGTCCCAATCGGAAACGGCGGAAGACTTCTGCTAGTATTGTAGATTTAACAAACTCCCCCAGTCCACCCCCTGTGAGATCCTGGGAACCAGCAGCTGAGGGGCAAAGAACACGTCGACGCAGTGCTACACAACGACGAGTTTCTGGAGAAAGTAGTCGGGCCAGAAGAAGGTAAGATTCAAATTCACTTAAGGAAAATCTAAAGATTTTTTTGTAACATTATTATGTGCTTTGGAGACACTTATTGCATCAATTTACACCATTTCCATTTTAAAGTCTGACGTCTATGGTTATTGCAATTTAACATAACATTTTATGACGTCACAAGGATTATTTTTTTAGACCTGCAATCCCACTGTCAATCAATCAAAACTATTTCAATTTCATAATTTCAATGAATTCTAGAATTTCTAGAAAGAAAGTATCCTTTTTCTTCCCCGTTAAGAGATCAGTCACAGTGTTTAACGAATATGGTCATGCAACATTATATCATGCAATACAACTGTCAATCAATTCATCCACCTATTTCAATTTCAACATTTTCAATGAATCCTAGAATTTCTAGATTTTACCTTTTTCTTTGCATCTAAACTGCTCTATATAGAGATTAGAAAATAGAACAAGTTAACACATGATGTGTGGATCAATGCAGGCACGATTCGCTTCTAGTATTCTCTATGTTATCGTTAATCTTGCATCGTACACCGCACAAGACACCGTACATCCTCTATTCGCACTTTTAGAGTACAGAGCTGAGGAAATTTATATTTAATTCATGTAAATTGGTTGGACGACAAAAAAATTACAAATTCTCTTCTTTCCTTCATTATCGAAGTCCAGACCTGAAATATTTATTATGTCCTGTTGTTCTAGTCTTGAAGTAAACATCAAATATTTATGACTCTATAACTGATGACTTGATAAGCTAGACTATACCTCATTTTCAAAACAGAGTGAATTCTTAGATACCATAATCAGGAAATATCAAGTACTGATGTGAACTCTGATCGGATGCTAGTGGGGGAGTAAAAAAGGGTAAAAATAAATTTCTCATATGGAATGACTAAACTAGTCTATATATTTACCCAGGCTTGAAATGCGATACATTTTACATCTGACTGGATTTTAATTTTTTAAGAAATATTAATCAATCTGATAGGTCTGCTTTTAAAATTATTATCATCCTTTCTCTTCCAGTCCTGGAACTCGACGAAGAACAACTAGAGAAAGAAACCCTACAAGAAGTACAGAATCTCCCGAAAGGAGAGCGTTTCAACCTCCAAATGTGATGGGTAGACAGATTCATCCAGCCTCTGTTTTACCCAGTCACAGCCAACATCAACCTCAACCCAATCAGCAGCAGCAACAACAGCAAGCACCTGTTATCATTGATGTAGACCAGGTATGACATCATGTAGTTGAAATATTCTCAGTAACCAAATTATTCAAGTTTCGTTATGACATTTTAGATTCCTTTTCCATTTTTCAACATGAATATTGATATGATATTGAGAAATAACTTATTCTGAAAATGACTATTTTATGGAAATGTTATAGATTCTCCTTCAAAATTTCTGATTTAAAAAGAGAAATAATTCATATTGACAATAACTGTTTATATGTCAATGCCCGATATCAACAATATTTTGGTATAGAATTCTTTATCAGAAAACAAACAGGAGTATTTTGTCATTATAAAATCAGCATACACAGCTGATGTCAGCCATGACACTCATTGTGACGTCAGCACATTGTCCGTATAATTTATTGCTTTTTTGTTTTATTTCAGATTCCCGTAACAACACCTGTTACCATGGCACCATATGCCTTCCCAGTATGCACTGGACCTCATCATCTACCAGTGTGTAGTACTGGTCATGTACCAATGTGTAACACACAGCCCACTTGGTCCATCCCTTGTACAGTACAGTTACCCTCTTGTGGGGTCCAGCATTTCCCAGCCTGTCTTCAACAAGTGCCATTACCTCAATCTCTGCCACCCACCATGTTACATCACCCCACACAACCCACCCCTCAACATATTCATCCCCAACATTATCCCCTGCCTCCACCCTACTATTCAGGAAGAACACCCTCAGTTCAGGTAAATACCTTTTAAGATTTTTTTTAAGTTACGAGGCTCCAGATCTATTGATAAACTTATTCTAACTTTGGCATCGATGCTCATTTTGAAGCATGAAGCAGCAAGTGAGACTCAAATTGATACAATTCGGAAATTCTTCGTTCTTTGGTATTTTTGTACAACTTCAATAAGGTCTTATTTAGCTAATGACTGCTTTTAGTTAAATGTTGATGGAAATTTACAACAAATTTTTTAGCCAGACTGTTGTGTCTTAATGATGGAAATTAAATCCAAAACACGTGACTGCCTTCTTCAGGCTTCTGTAACCGTGAGTTTCTGGATATAGATATAGTTTATCCATTAATCTTTTACTTCGTTACTATGTAATTTTATACTAATTAATTAAGCTAATGACGACAACAACAACAATTAAAATCATGACTCGTCGCATGAACATAAAAACATAATAAAACGTGGTTTAACATCATGATTAACAAGATTTCAATTTAATAATGCGCATATTAAGATGTAGTGCATGTTATGTGACCTGTGTCATTGTTTTGACGAAGATTAAAGTAATTAAAACAAGATTATTAATTAAGAAACATGATATATATCTTATTTTTCAATCAAATCAATACTTAGTATTTTGCCTAACATTCTCTGTAGTAAAATAGTGAGGTTCAGCTTACAAGTTACATTGTTGTATTTCGTGTGGTTTTGCTAAATACACGTTTTCATGTCCGTCATTTTTATCTGCATGTTGTTTTACAAATTATATAATACATTACATAGAAATTCTTTTAAAAGATGCTTCCAAAGACAAACCCATTTGTATATCATGTGTAAATGTTTCACGTGTTAATGCAACACTACGCAATTTTTACGCCTCGTTCCAACACCATGTTAATCATGTCGTTAAAAAAACACTTTTTAACCTTATATGAGATTTTGTGGTTATCATTCCACTAACAAAACATGGTGTCAAGTGCTGTGATTGGTTTTATCCATAATTTGTTTAATCACAAAGTCTAATAGTTTCTTTCCATTTAAATAAATGATCTTTTGTTTAATTTTTGATGTTTTGTATCATTACAGGAGAATGACGTCCAACTGTTAGAGCATCATCCAAACTATCCCCTCCCCCCACGAATTCATCCTCACAATCTACCTACATTGAACCCCTCGCCACCAATATTTCTACAGGAGCCTACAGTTCATCCTACACCTCATGATTTATACGTAAGTTTTCTGAATTTTGACTTTTCATATCTGCTTTGGTGTTTTGCAGAAGGATTTCAACTTAATCAGCCCATGAAGTTGACTTTTAACTGTAACACCCCATTTGATTCATTTATTCCTGCTGGAATTTTCTGGAATTTCTTTGTGATTACCTGAATAACTTATTGAAATCTTTGTATTGCAGGGTCCATATTCTCGCTATTATGCAAGAAGAACTATGGCAAGAAATCGACTCAGACCACAACCACCTCCTCCATACCCAGGATTCTTGTTACACTTCCTGTAAGTATCAAATTAACCAATCACAGCCCTCTTAATGATTTACCATTTGGTTGATCTTCATCTATGAAAACTGCACATGACAAGTAGAAAGTACTTGTACAGCTTTGATAAATGAAAATGAATTGTAATGCATATTGTACTCCAATATTCCAATATGATATTTAATTTCAACACTATTCAACTTCTTACTTTAGTTGAATGGATCAAATTGGTTCACTCCACTCTATCTTACCGCTGTGATCACATATTGATAACATCGTCTTCATTTTACAGGGCTATGTTAAGCAATCCGCCAGTACCACCGTACGGAAGAGACCATTCTGATGAGGCAAGTGATGTTGAAAATTATGAGGTACACATCCTATTACTAATCTCTTTTAGAGATTATTGGGCTCATTAATTTTACGTTTTTATTTTACAATTTTACTAATTCTTTTTTTTATTTATTCAAATTGAATTATTCGTGGAGAGACAGGATACAAATTTGCATAATTCCATTTTAGAATCTGCAAAAGGGAGCTATTTTTCAGGACTATATTTATTAACGCAATAGGTCTTAACGTTATGACTAGTAAACATTATCCAAAGTGGGACATCTACTGAAAATTCTACGCACACAGAAATTTGTCAGCTCAAGTAAAAAAAAATTTTTAGGCTTATCAAGTTAAGATTGCTTATGTGTTCTTTCTCAATTTTTCAGGCATTATTGAATCTAGCCGAACGATTGGGTGAAGCCAAACCACGAGGGTTAACTAAAGCTGAAATAGATCAGCTTCCAGCTTACAGATTCAACAGCGAAACACGACGATCAGATTTAGACATGACATCGTGTGTTGTGTGTATGTGTGATTTTGAAAATCGGCAGTTATTACGTGTATTACCGTGTAGTCATGAATTCCATGGTAAATGTGTTGATAAATGGTTAAAGGTAAGTTACATCAATTGTTATCAATTATTGACTCTACTGATAAAGTGCTGGTCTGAAAGATTTGTCATGTTAAAAGCATCTTGTATATTATTCCATTTTAGAGACAACTGGTAAGTATATAAAACTAGCTGTCAAGACTCAAAGACAGAATTGTGTTTTAAATATTTATTATTATGGGATATTATTGAAAAATAAGCCGCCTGGTCGAACAATTGAAACTATCGTGAAAGCTCAATGCTTAAATTATTAATTGAAAGTTATTGATGAGAATTTTCTATTTCTTTTTCAGACCAATAGAACATGTCCTATATGTCGAGCAGACGCTTCAGAAGTTGGCAGCCAATCAGATTAAAGGAAAAATCAACCAATCAGAACACACATCTGATTTTTGAAATATATGTAAAAAGAAATTGTGTGAAGAAAAGTTTAATTTAAAAATAAATGTTGAATATTATGTGTTGACACCAAGAAAGTTGACTTGGTAGTAAACTTTATGGATATTGTGGGATCAAAGATGGAGGCGTTGAATTTTGTTATTTTTTGCTCCAAAGACTTTTATTGTGTATTTTGTGAATAAGACCGAATTATTTATGTTAATCCAGACTACATTTAATGTTTCAATCTATATAGAAGTTGACCTCATTGTGCACTTCGAGTTTTTGAAAGAACTTGAATTATGCAAGAGATATTTGGTTGAAATCTATCCAGAAAGAACTTTAATGGGCAACTAGGCATTCTTCAGATGTGGTCAGCAATATGCAACACACTGTACAACTAAGTATGAAAATGTGAATATCCAGGCACAGTCCTACCAAATCAATAAAAATGTACAGGTTTATCGAATATCATGTGTACAGTCTTATCAAATCATAAAAATGTACAGATCTATCAGAATATAATGTGTACAATCAGAAAAATGTACAGTCCTATCTCAATATCAGTGTACAGTCCTATAAAAATATCCATGTACATTCTATCAGATCATAAAAATGTACAGTCCTATCATATTATCAAAGTGTACATTTGTATGAAAATAGTAAAGTGTACAGTTTATCAGATTTATTTTCAACACATTTGTATCCGATGGTCATTAAATACAACTCTAATTAATATCCTTTAATTAAAGATTAATTAATTAAGATTATTCAAAGATTATATTATCATGTACAGTTTATATATAGAAATATCTTGTGTAAGACTTTGTTTCAAGTTGAATTTCATATTTTCGTTTTGAAAAACATTCCATATATATAAATAAACAAACTATCCAAAAGATTTAGAAATTAAAAGAAAAAAATTGAAATTCTCTCGTTAGAGATGAAAATTGTTTGATATTTTGTTTTCAACGGCAATTTTTTGTCAAAATTTGATTAGAATTTTTAAAAAATCTTAAACTCATACTAGAAACACTTGATACAAAGTTTTCAAATCTTCAATATGAAATCAGACTTGAAATTAAGCAAGGGAATATATTATTATACCTCAATTTTTGTACTGTTTATATATACACGTACTGTCTATCTGTATGTAATTTCTTCTTGCTGCTGTTTATAACTTGCTATTCGTCAGGGGCTGGTTGTTAGGGACAACATAACTTTAAGGCAATCATTAACGGCAATATCTGGGCATGTTATAACATTTAAGACCAGTAACTCTAACAATTATTCAAGGTTGTTGGCAAACAGAAATTTTTTGGCATTTTATGTATTGTTTAGAACATTTAGAACCTTTTTAAGTGTTGAATTTGAATAGTAAATATATAAAATAACATCACAGGGTTGTGATCTTTGAATTATATTACGTCTGCTACTATTGAAGTTATCATATTGACCAATCAAAATCTCTGGAATTTTACACCAAGAAATATCAGAATTAGGATAAAAAATAATTGGAAAATATATTTTGAAAAACAAGACCCAGATTTCTTCAAGTTAATCAGATAGGAGACTTATAAGTTATAACGTTTCTGACAACCAACCCTAGCTTTATATAGGGTAATATCTGTTATTAACTAACCGTTGTTATATGTGGAGTTTGATTGTTCTTGCATTTTTCATTTCAATTTTCAATTCAATTAAGTTTTATAATATATTTAAAATTTCCTTTCATAATTCAGAACACAGAATTAACTTTTTTTTTTCAATCTCTGATTTAAAGAGTTAAGTTATATGATAGTCTGTAAGATTTGGCTGTAGTGTTTCCTGTCTATAATTCACAACTTCTAAAACAGAAATAATAATTTCTTATCAATATCCAATCCCAGAAAATATGATAGAAAGGACCCCTGTGAACCTAAGTTGTTATCATTGTAATAAATTGTTGTTTTTCTTTCTTTACTTGAAAATATTTAGTACACACCACTTTGACTACATAATTCACTCACACTATGTATAGTTACTGTTTGTTTTGTATCTATTTTATTATTCTCAGTACTATGTTTTAACTGTTAACTATATTTCTGTATCTAGCCTTTTACACCATTCAATAACAAACATATTGTTTAAACTATCCTTTGGCACCTTATTTCTGTTCAAATGATTGAGTTCAATTGGTTCTTTTTGAAATTCTGAAAGTATTTGATAAAATTGTGTTCTGAAACCAAACCAAGGTTGAATTTGACTTCTGCAAATCATGTAATATGCTGGGGTTACCTGATACCAGTCCAATATTGTTGTTTATTCATAGTTTTATGCTATGATCATAGATGATATTTTGTGTTTTTTAATGCTTGATTACAATTCAGAAAATTAATCCTAATCAGTGGACACTTCATTTGGTCAGGTATTTAGTATCAAGGGCAGTAACTCATCTAGTCACTTGTAGTATACCTTCTTCAAAAATGGAAGAAAACTATCTTCTAACTCTTTTGAATTCAACAATTTAGACTGAAAAAAAACTTCAACATCCAAATTGTTTGTTATCCAAACCCATTAGTTTGTTTTGTTTTGAAAAGTGCTAAATTTGAACAATTTTAACCTATATGGAACAAGTAAGCATGGCTTCTGTATTGAGAAGGAAAGAAAACCTTTGTTACACCAACTTTGTAAAATCTCACAAAAAGTGTTGATTTTCATTTTATATTTTTCAACCAAACCAGCAAAAATATTTAAATATCTAAGAGATATTTTTATATGTTGTCAATATTTTGGCAGATTTGATACTTGTAAAGTTTAATGGTGGAGGGAACTCTCCTCATCAGATGTTTCACATGTATTTGAAGTTGTATGTGGGGAATGTCTGAAAATTTGTGTGCATGTATGTGCAGTGTTTGTTTTGTGATTGAAAATGTGCGTGCACTTGTAGTGTGTGATGGAAAATGCATGTGGAGTGTGTGACCTACTTCAAAAAACGTAAAGAAAGCAGAATTTCAACAAATTTTCTATTTGTAACTTGTAGCGGACACATCTATATTTATTTTTTTAACTTTCTATTTCTATCTAACAGAGCTAGTTAACTTCTCTCAGTAGATACCTTGCCCTTCAAAACACCCACATGACTGGTTTCTCCTTGATCATATTTTCAGACTTTTACTGCCAGGCAAAATGTAACTATAACCTCATGACATTTACAACTGAATGGGACATGAGCCTTTATAACAACTGCCTTCAGCCATTATTCATTTAATGAAAGAGAATTAGAAATAAAATTTGTATCAAAGATCATTTCTAAACTGGAGACAAAATGTTATATTAAAGTGGCCATGTAGACTAACTTCACGATAACAAAACTTTCAGATAAATTCATTCGTGCATACGATTTTCATAAAAAATGTTATCATTGGCTTCAAATTGAATACTTCTGTAGGTAATTTTTATTTCATTCACCCTGTATTTAAATTGCTAATATGATTGTCTTTGTCAAATCTTCATCTTTACTAAAATTAAATGAAAACATAACTAAATGATATCCTCAGTAATTTGAAAGAAAAATATAAATAAGTTCTATTGATTTGAAAATATAGAGAAATGAAAAAAATAATTTTTAATGTGCACCAACTCCACGTTTTGTTGTTTCAATGTTTGTTGGTAGTTCAGTTTTTGTTACGGGTTTTGTTTTCCAGTTTTCACTAAATTTTTTCCCGAAACACGTTATCGTTATTGTTGAAATTTTATTTCATTATTTTTTCTAATTTGCTACACAAATGTGTTAAGTTGCTTCCTTCACTATTTTATAGTTGTTTGAATTTTAAAAATTTTGAGAATTTAAAGATAAAAGTTTAAAATGAGATGACTGTGCAATAGAAACTGAGATATCACTCTCTCCCCCACTCTGTACCGTACTGCTCTAACTCTCAATGTGCTTCTTAGATGGTATGCATGATGTATAAATTAATATTTTTGTAACAAAAAAAAGCCAATTTCTTGTCGAAAGTTTGTACCCCTTGAACTGAAGAATGACTTAATGGAATAATCAGTAAACGATCTTATCAAAACTGTATCCTCAGAAATTTTCACGAATATGCTTTAATATTCTTTGATTGAATTGTGGTTATTACATATTTTGATTACATTATAGAATGATCTTAAAATTTAAATTCTCATCCTTGACCATTCGTATAGATCTACGGCAGCCATTGTCTGACAATTACAGGCATAGTGAGAATGGCGGCCGTAGATATGAATGATCCTTGACCAATAAGAGTATATAATTATCATAGGACTGACTTGATTTCTATACTCTTCTTGGCCAAGTTTGAGAATTTAAATTGTATGTTCATTCTAAGAGGCAGTTTTCCTTTAAAGAAATATTTACCTATTCAAATTTTCTTTTTCAATACTAGGGACAAGAAATTGGCTTGACCACACCTAAAATTGTATTTAATCTCTTTAAAGCTCATTGTACTGATTCCTTCACTTGCCTTAATGTCATCTTGACAGGAAAAATAAATATATTATAAATTATTCTAATAATACCCATAATTTCTTATACAAAAATTAATATTCTATCTACCTCGCTGTAAATTGTCAAAAAATATAGAATGTTTGAATGAGGTGTAATGGCCAGTTGAAATATAGCCTCCAAATTTCAGAATTTTATAGAAAATATACAAAATGTTATAATAATGTCTTAATTTTACATGGGTCAGAATAAGGTCCAATACACAAGGATATAGTCATGTCAGAAGAAGTTTATTTGAGATATTTGGCATGCTCCGTGTCTTTTGTGTGGAGCATGCCCACTACATCTTGAAATTGAGGCATACTCATCAATATTTGGTTCCTTTGTGTTGTGTAATGTCAATATATTTTATTATGAAAATATGTCTGAAGCAACCAATACCATAAACTAAGAAATTTCCCTATAAGGCTATATTTTTGTGGTTTGAATTGTATTTTGCGTGTTGTTTTGAGACGTAATGTGCTATTATGAAAATGTCTCATTTTTTTGTTGAATTTTGAATCAAGACTTTATTTCATCATATTATATATAAAATTTATTATCATTTTTTGTGAGTTAAGTGTAATTTGATCACCTTATATTTCATATATATGGCAATAACCTGAATAAATATCAATATTATGTCACTGGTTTTTATTTTTGAGGGTCACAACTCCCTTCAGTTGGTCAATGCTGCTGATTTGGTTTGCATTTAAAAGATTAGGATGACATTCCTCGTCAATTTTGTTATTGATGCTCAATTATTTAGATTTATTTTAGAGGGTCTGAATTGGGATGCCAGATTCCTCATCTCTTTGAAACTGCTACTGCTGCTTACAGAATTGGTTTGCATAGAAAAATACTTCATGAGTTTGAAGGGAACAAAATTAATTGAAGCCCCATTTGATATTTCTGCCTGCGCCAAGGGTGTAAAAGGGAGCAAATAAGAATAGTTATTTCTGATGTTTAGAGGTATCTAATCGATTGAAACACACTGTTCATAAAAATAATATATTTCATATTCCAAAATAGACAAAATTATAAATTCTGCAAGAACCATATGTTATAAAATCAATTTTCATATAATTAAATGTAAATCTTGAACACAGAATATTCTTGAATACAATATAAGTGCACATTGAGGCATTATACAAATTCTATATCTTGCTCAATTTCAAGAAAAAAAGATTGTAGGGATTGTAAAGAGGTTTTCTAAATTTTTCATGTGTATCATGAACATTGATAGCATCAATTTGTATCATTTCAATTTTCAATCAGAGGTCTGTGGTTTGTGAAATTCAACTAAAACTAAGTGTTTTATGACTAACTAATTTAGAAAACCTTTCTACAACCAATTTAAGACAGAATAACTTTAAAGAAAAGCCTTTTATCCTGTTCATTACTAGTTACAAAACCTTACAAACTAATTGTATCTGTCATCATGTTTGGAATCATACCTCGATTTGCGCAAATATCTTTTAAAATTGAAATATAAATCATGAGAATTGATTAATATTGTACATCATGAGAAGTATATAATCATTCAAATTATATTTCAAATTATAAATAACATTTGAGTCCGCCAGGGTATCAATACCATCTACAGAAACATCTGTGTCATTTTTGGCATAAATGGAATGTTTGTTAATATCAACGTGAACACTCTATAGCTTAAAAACTTGCACCTAAAGTAATGTTAATATGTAATGTAACTATATTCAGTTTGCTTCAAGGCGTGTAAACCATTCTCAGAATTACTCTTTAGGTATAAGTTAAAGTTACCTTGAGAGCAAGTAAAATATCTTCCAGATAAACAGAAATTAATATATTGCATAACAAAATATTTCAACATATACTGCAAGGCAAAAGATACCTGATATGGATACATACATTTTCAAATATTTATTTATGTAATTAAAAACATTAGAGCAAGTGTCAAATGAAATTTAAGCCAACAAAATGATGCAATAGAACATTAAAAAAATCTATTGTTAAGTTTTATTAGTACTTCAGAATAACTGACTATTTTAACAGTGGTAAATCTATATCACTCTACAATTGATGTATTGAGCACTATTTTAACAGTGGTAAATCTATATCACTCTACAATTGATGTATTGAGCACTATTTTAACAGTGGTATTTCTATATCGCTCTACAATTGATGTATTGAGCACTAGTATAACAGTGGTATTTCTATATCGCTCTACAATTGATGTATTGAGCACTATTTTAACAGTGGTAAATCTATATCACTCTACAATTGATGTATTGAGCACTATTTTAACAGTGGTAAATCTATATCACTCTACAATTGATGTATTGAGCACTATTTTAACAGTGGTATTTCTATATCGCTCTACAATTGATGTATTGAGCACTATTATAACAGTGGTATTTCTATATCACTCTACAATTGATATATTGAGCACTATTTTAACAGTGGTATTTCTATATCGCTCTACAATTGATGTATTGAGCACTATTTTTACAGTCGTATTTCTATATCGCTCTACAATTGATATATTGAGCACTATTTTAACAGTGAAAATATTTTGTTATAGTAATAAAGATTTTAAACAGCCCCATAATTAGAAAATAAGGAATACCCCTTCTGTTTGGCGTTCGAGTGTTTTCTGGCATGACAGGCAAATCCTATTGAGACCAATATAAATAATGAAAATAAGATAATTAATAAAATAAAAGTCGTTAGGGCTATTGGTACGACTGGTTCGTTAACTGGTATCTGATTACTCTCGTTCAACATAAAACCTAACGACCAACCAATATCAGTATCTTCTACCTGAAATACAGAAATACAACATAACTCATAGAAAAATCAAATTTTAAATGATTGGAAATATTGGAAAGTTAACACCCAATTCCAATAAAGCTGTCCTGATGAGGCTTATTTATCCAAAAGATATCTGTAGTTAATAAGTCATGTACCACAGAGAATGTAAACATAATGCACAAATAATTTTCAACCATATCAAGCATACTTTTGCATTATTTTGGGATTTTTTTGTGCGATATTTGTAAAATTTAAAGGTTAAAATATTTGTAGACTGTATAATTGAGAGTCAAATTAAAATTAATTAATTAATAAGATAAATTACCTGTTTAACAAATCTCAGTGTATTCCAATTATCCTCATTAAAACCATATCCTCTCGTTAACATAGTAATTACATAATTAGCTTGAAAACAATACCATGGTAGGCTGGTAGGTAACACAGCTGGCATATCTTTTACCTGTTTATCAATATAAAAGGTTAGGGTAATGAAAGGTATATCAGCATCCGCTGAAAGCAAACGTTAACTTGTCATCTACCAACCAACCAAAGGTATAACACTTGTAGGCCTGGTATTGGCTAGATTAGAGGTAAGGGAATGGAAAATAAAATTTATCAGAGTTTTTTTGAACATTAATTGTAAATATGAGTTATTTACACGCTGGGGTTGTGTGTCTCTAGTTGTGATCTCGGCCAGGACCTCAATGGAAAGGATCACATATTCTGCCTAATTCTTGTGAATAGACCACTGCTTCTATATAATATCAAACATTAAAAAATTGCAACTTAATGCATCTAAATGTTTCCAGCAACAAGTCCTTGGTTTGAAGAAATTATATATCTTAAAAGAAGTGGGCTATATCATAGAGAACATTATAATAAAACACTGCGGTACCTCATCCCATGTCTTGTTACAGAAATGTAATGTAGAGGTATTAAGCTGATCTAATGTAAACTGTTCTGTACCATTAGTTAAATTTAAAAAATGAGCTACATAATAAAAACTTGAAAATGCCTAAAATAAAGATAGAAACAGTGATTATTTGAAAATATTATATATGTTACATGTATATTCAATTCAATTTTCAATAATAGTTAGAGATAAAAATAGGAATAGAGGAGGTGTGGTGTACAGAGCTAGATTACTGATATAACAGAAAATATAATAAACCAATTTTGCCTGCAAGTACCATGTGTATTTGTTTCTTCAATTTTCTATTGCTTTGATAATATTTCACTGTACACAGCACCAGACCTTCAACACCGAAAGACTGGGAATTGAAAGATTCTATGCATGATTCTATACAACTGTGATTCACACAAAAATATAAATAATATATAACTTACATAAAATTCTCCGAACACATCAGGTTGAAATTGACCATTAAAAGAACAGTGAGGATAAGAACATGTCTGATTGAAATCAAATAAATTATTTTGTATAAAATTCAAACACTGATCTGGATCACTCTCTCCAATAATCTCTAGGGTCTCATTCTGAAATTATATTAAAATACATATATACAGGCAATGGAGAAAATAATTATTAAAATTAGCAATATACACTGAATCCTGTCCACACAACCACCCTTATTGAGTAATCACCTTCAATATCGGACCACAATTAAATACACAAACTTAATAGCACATTGTAGCATTTGGGTTGTAAAAGCCTTTGCAATAACCTTGCCTTTTGACTGAAAATTGGAATAGCATAAATCAGAGCAATCAGTGTCCCCGATACTCGTAAAAGTTTCATTTAAATCTTGTAACGTTGTCCAGCAGTCAATTAAGAAATATTCTTACCGGTGTAAATATGGGAACAGGATCATCTAATAAGAAACTATAATCTTGTTGTTTATCCATTCCACTAGTACATGGTGCCTTAAATACTCTCTCATAACTCACATTTACAACATGGCCGACTGGAGCACAGGGGTCTTTAACAACTCTACTGAAATTCTGGTCCTGAAATATTTAAACCATACGTTAATCAAAGTTGATCAAATACTGGTTAGCTGTTAATCTGAAAGTTTTTTAAATAGATAAACAATAGATTGACTATTCTCCAGAAAGAATGTCCAGTTTCTAAACCTAGTTGTAGAGTAGCATAATATGCTCTTCTCTGAGTGGTGCTCAAATTCAAGAAAGCTTAACAAAAACTCAGTTTATCAAAACTTGACCATATTTTTAATTGTTAACAAGTCAAAAAGTAACCAAAAGAATGCTAATAAAGTGGAAAAAATTAGCATCTTTGAATTCTTTCAAATGACTTAATATAACAAAAGCATGGAGCTATATTTAAACATTTAACATTTACCACAGTTAAAGCAGCCTGTAGGCGTCTCTGAGCCTCGTTGACACCATAACAAAGATAACTATGAGTATATAGTGTATAATTAACACTGTATAATTGGATAGATTGAGTATAGTTCACAGGTTGAGTCGTATAATTAGCTGGAATGAAAGTGATTTGAGCTGATGCCCCTCCCATATCTAATGCTCCTATGGTTGGTGATTTTTTAGCTTGGAGTGTAGAGGGTTTGGGTGGATTCTAAAATAAAAATTTAAATAACTGTTATAGCTTGCGCTCAATTTTAAAGAGTTAGATCTTGTGATGAATTTTCTATAAATGAGTTATCTCCCCTTTGACCACAGAGTACAGTAATAAATTTGATTGACATATCTATATAAGTCTTGAAATGAAACAAATAAAGACAGACAATACCTTGCAGTGTGTAATTAGGTAATCTTATAAGGAATTTTGCATTAGCCTATTTCTTATAGTTGAAAAAGCATTCAAAACTGTTTTATCTCCATTAGGCTAAGGCTGAAGAGCCAAGTTATCTAGAACTCTGACTTACCACTTGAAATGATTTACTAACATAATTACTGGTAATCCAGGAAAATACTCCTTCTTCATCTCCTGATATTATCCTAGCTTGGCTCTCAGGTTTATCAAATAGAAATGGATATTCTCCAATTGTTTTACGAACTTCTGATAAGATAGAATCACTTTGTGTGGAATTTACTTCACTGAAATTAGAGACATAAGTTTTTCACAGGATAAGTAATCAGTTATCTCATATTTGGAGCGTAATTGTATCTATATTTGGCACAGGATATCAATTAAAGTAGTCAGCAAGAACAGACTCACCAACTGCAACTAAACACATGTTTCCATTCAAAATTTCCCAGAAAATTGAAATGCCACTTCTTTTGATGCGCAGAAACTATCTAATGATATTCAATATTCCGTAGACAGACCTTGATCAAGAGCACAAAAATGAGAATGAAAAATTAACATGACTTACTGTAATAATCTCATACCAGCTGTAGCACCAAGATATATTGGTGACTTCTTCCAATGATCTTTAGGTATAATAGTTTTAGCTATATCTAAACACTGTTTTAACCCTTCAGATAGATCTTCTAGATTGTTTACAAACGTTGCTATACCTTTACCTACAAATATAGTCACATTAGTAAGTGATTTACTACAGACATCACTATTATCAACAGTTCAGGATTTACTACATACATCACAATTATCAACAGTTCAGGATTTACTACAGACATCACAATTATCAATAGCTCAGGACTTACTACAGACATCACACTTATCAAAAGCTCATTATTATCAATAGTTACTACCAAGATTTACTACAGACATCACAATTATCATTTGTTCATGATTTACTACAGACATCACAATTATCCTTAGCTCAGGATTTACTACATACATCACAATTATCATTTGTTCATGATTTACTACAGACATCACAATTATCCTTAGCTCAGGATTTACTACATACATCACAATTTTGTTTGTATTTATGCGATTGGCTTCTAAATGCATCATTTCAATTTTTAGTCAGATGTCTGTGGTTCCTTATCAAAATCTGCTAATAAAATCTTTAAAGCTGTGCTGAAGAAAAATACAAAATCTTACCAGGAACTTTACAAGTTTCACCAAATTGAGAAGCTATAGCTGTCTGTTTATATTTTTCACCATCCCATTTATATACATACATATTGGTATGAGATGATCCAGCATCCATTATTATACCATACTATAAATAGTAACATAGTTTAAATGATTTACTACATACATCACTATTACATTTGAGCTATTTCAGTGGTAAGAGCAGTTTTATTGCTTTTTATAGTGGCTAGATTAAGAATAGGTGTTTTTGAAGACTACAACACTAAACAGTGTGTAATGAGGGGAATATTGTTTCAAAAACAGCATTTGCCTTCTCTTTGATATTTCCAATAGCAAAGGAATGAAAGATCTTTCAAAAGTCAGTAGTAATTTTTGTCGTGTTAAGCATTAAAAACAAGTGATTACTTACATCAAAAACATGTTGGTCGGACTTAGCTTTCACTACACTAATAGCTACAAGACCAATTATACCAATAATTAAACTTAAAAAACATAAAAACCACCAGGTATTCCATCGAACTCTCTTAGTCTCAACTGTGGCTAGAAAAATAACAGAAAAAAATACATAGGGGTAAAACAGATAAAGGTATCAAAGCTGCAAGGTGCATCAAGAGAAATTTTGTCAGTAGGACAACTGTTTGACTCAGTCATTAGCGAGTTGCATTGTCGTCTGCTAGCGATTATGTGCTATGTGTGAAGATAAGAAAAGGTCTAATACCAGTTATGCCACATCCTTCATGCACACACGTTCCCTGCACTTTATTCCTTTATCATTTTACTGACAACCCCCTTAAACCTGCATCAATGACAAGAAACCAAGATAGCAAATTCGGGTATCGTTCTGCACTAAACAGTCATTCACAATAAATGTCTGTCAAGAAAACTGAATAAATATTGCTGAATAAATTTCTAAATTACATTATTTCAACCATACCTTCATCTGTCCAATGTACAACTTCACCATTTCTGATATTACAAAGTCTTAAAGTGGCTTCACGATTTAACAATTCATTAGCAGCATGACGTAAACAATATGAATCCTTTAAAGGAACATGAGCCTCAGTACAAGTCTTTCGTAATAAGTTATCAATTGTTGAGTTCTCCCTGATTTTAATACGATAACGACCTTGAGGGCCATCAGATGGTAAAATACTTTGTACAATCACTTCGATTTCCATTTCTTCTATTTACAATTTACACATCAACGAGAATTTACAGATCGACCTTCTCACTAATATCTGTAAAAAAGGAAGGACATTAACTTTAATAGCTGATATCAAGAAATGCCCCAAACTCGTCAGTCAAAGGTTTACATAATATCAAATGGATGACTCTTGCACGACAAAATGAATCTAATATGCTATCCCTTCCTTTAAACATAGTCAGATAAACTGAAATATTTCAATAACATCCCTGGTAAGAGAAAAATTCAAAGGCTACATAGATAAGTTTACATATAAGCTTACATATACCTACTTTTTCGGAAGGTAACATTATAAGGGATATTGACCTATTGAACATTGACTGATACTCTTGTCATTATGATTGATTCAATGATCAGTATTAGGCTGAGTTACATCTCATATATCCTTTTGAGGACTATTCTAAATAACACTAACACAGTAGGCCTTGGCTAACAGTTCACATTTTACAATTATGTACAAAGCAATCAATTCCAAGAGTAAGAGCATCTATTGAAAACATAATTCATAAATTGGGTATTATAAGCCTACATTTCAACTTGGATTGCCTACCCTTCCCATGGCCCATCTCATGGACCATTCAGACATCACGCTACAAAAGATGATACGATTGTAAAGATATATAGATAGATAGAAATAATAGAGTGTTACTGTTATCTTTCATCGTCATCAATTTCAAACGCCTCGAAAAATTAAACGTAAATTATTTCGTCTCAGCCTAGTTTAGAATGTTCTTATTAAATCCACCAGAGAGTCTACATAGAACTAAAGAAATCTGACAGAAAGTTGAAAGAAATATTACGACATTAAAGGGATGACAATTGATTTTTGTAATTTTACCTATTTTGACAATCATAACAAACCGTCGCCATTTTGTGTCAAAGGGCACGTGTTTCTGAGCTCGTGATCCGATTCTTCGCATAAAATCTCAGCAGAAGGATAAAATTTCTCATTTCTTAATTTTTTAAAAATCACAAAAATGTGGCTGGAATAATTTCGGTTTGAATTTCAGTCACGGTTTTTGCAAACGCAGAAGATAGATAAAATATTGAATAAATTATGTTAATGACTGAGACTTCAATGCGTGACGTCACTAATTAGGCCCAAATATAAAAGTCTTGAGAGTTGGTCTAATATTGATGTCGATAATTATTGTATTTTTTGAAGAATGGAAAGTAAAAAACTGGAGGTAAATATTCATTTATATCTTAAATATATTTTGTACATTTCTTTTTCGCGAAGAAGTTGAATTATTTATAAAACATGAAATGTAAGTGGCAAATATTATTGAATACAGTGACCCAGTTACTGCTATAATCTGTCGGCTGTACCATTGCAACTCAGCATGCCGATGTACTTATCTCTTCAATATTATGATTAATAACAATTACAAGTTAACAGTAGAAAATGCATCATTTTCAGCTAACTGGTCCACCTTGTGGAAGGCATGGTTCACAAACATTTTACAAGGCCTTCAAATTTATATTAGATGGCAAAGAAAATAATTTAGCAATTGGAGAATTTTTCTTCATGAAAATATCAAAAGAAATACCAGTATGTATTGGGGAAATTCAACTTTTATGGGAAGACAGTAATTCCAACTATCAGCTTTCCAGTTTACGACTGTATTTTTTACCAGAAAACACACCAGAGGGACGAGATGAATTCCACGGAGAGGTGAGTTTTTAAATTTACTTTTAATTGATAATTTTGATTTCTTAATTAAATTTTTTGTTTTTTTTAATATTCGCGATATTTTTGAGACAAAGGTAAGTGAACGATAATTTGTATTCATTTTTTTCAATTTCCTGGATGTATCATCCAGGAAATTAGAGCTGTTGATATTTAAATGAATATTTCACGAGGTCAATGGCAAGTTTTTAGTAGTTTACAGTAAAAAGATAATTTTATTGTTATTGAATATGGCTATAACCTTGTAGCTTTCAAATGAGATATTTTCAAAATGGCTTCATTTGATATTTATTTCCTAAATTAAAAAATATCAATTTTGACATTTGAGATAAATTATTCAATTTATTCAAAATTTGTTAGTCATAAAAATAGAATTTAACCTCTTATCATTTAAAAGTGGGCCATATTGCTAGAGTGTAATAATGTATTTTTATAAAGTGTATATTTATGTTATAATTTCCCTGTGTATATTATATTTTAACTTAAGTAATATAGCAAATCTAAAAACTATATTGATTTCAGCTGTAGAGCTTTACAACTCTAGTTTATTTATAGTAACAACTGTTTGAGATTTGCTCCAGTGCACATAATTGGCTCAAGTAACAGTAACTATATAAATACATGTAATACTTTAAAACAAAGCTGATAATTTATCAAATTAATATCACAATAAACAATATTTGTGATGTCTTTTAATTATCATGATACTGTTAATAAGAAATAATGCAGGAATAATCAATATCAGCAATATATCATGTGTTAGAATGTTATCTTAGCCTTCAGCTGGTAGTCAGTGTGCATAAATTATGTTAATGAGGTTGTAGACCGGTTTCACCTTTATCATTTCGAAACCAGTCGAAACTAAACTTTTAACCTAAGCTAATATTGACACATTAAAAAGATTACTCTAGTTATCACATATTTTTAGCTATTGTGTTTTTTATTATACCAACTTTATTTATAAATGTTAACTTCACTAGCATATAGTTTGAAATATCATATGTAAATTTATCACTATGGCTTTTGTTGTTTATTCTCCATGAAGTAATTGACCCATGTTTTGATGAGTTTTAATTGAATTTAAATAGTCAGATGACCTTTGTTGTTTTTCTCTTTTACACAATAAATTTATTTTTTGAATTAGTGAGCTAAAACATTTATTGTATTTTTTTATATTGATTTATCAAAAAGTTGAATCGAACATTGATTGATGAAGGAAATAAGGGAAAATATTTTTAAATCTAAGGATATCGAGATAATTCTCAGCCCATATAATATTTCGATTATTTACAGTAGCACTGACCCAGGTTTGAGGGAAATTTTGGAAGCATTTATGTAGAACATAACATATATAAGTTTAATTCATTATTAATGAAAAGCAAAAGAATTCTAAGTGAAAGAAGCTAAACTATGTTTAAGTATAACTAATATATCTACTATGTCTTAGTACAATTTCTTCCTCTTCTTACATACAAACATCCAGTTAGGTATGAAATTAGGTAGACCTTGTCCTAATTCTCTATTACATAAAACAATTTATTTATGATCTCAAGCTTCTAAATTTATTTCTTTTGGAAGATAATAATTTGAATTGAAAAGGCCAAGTGACATGAGTTAATAGTAATATATCTCTACTTTATGTGTATCTTAGTCAAGATTTTGTACATTTCTTATCACCTTTTAATAGGTTTACTGTAAACATCTACTTAAAGATACACTTCTTCTCTTCCATGCTAAGTCTTATCTTAAAGCGACTCAACTAAAGTAACATCTACTTATCGTTATTTAAAAAGATCCAAATAAAGAAATATTATAACTCAAAACATAAAACAACTCGAGCGAAAAAAATACATTTATAGATACTTATAAATCAACTGGGCCTTGTCCTTCAAATAATCAATTTAGTTAGAATTGTGATATTTCTACATTTTATGTTAAAAATTTGTTGAATTTCAGCGTTTCCAAAAAACTGAATTGTATCTAAATAAACTATATTTGGAAAGCTTAGGCTGTCATTCTATTTTTACGGAGGTCAGGTACAAACGCATAATCCTGATCTTTTTATCAATAAATATGTGGAACTTCTCTAAACACACTGTAATTTCTTTTATCTGCGATTTAATTTAGATGCAATGGAACTACATCAGTTTATGATTTTTAATATAATGAACATTTTCCTTCCTATTTGCTTTCTCCATACTTAATCAATAATAGTTAGAAGACAAATAATAACGGTAGTTTTATGACCTGTCCATTGTTATATAGAGATGACCCTTATTCTCCTTAACATTTTTATTTTCTTTAAAATATTTGTCTTTGTCTTAGTGAAGATATTAAGAATGTGGAATATCGTGTTTGTAAGTTAGCCAAGTAAAAATGAAATATTACAATTAAAGATAGGAAATGACTCATAAAAACATCAATTTATAATCTAAACCTTTATAACATAATATTTGTACAAATTTTGACATAGATTGATTTTGAGTTAAATTGTTTTGATGATTTTGTTTATGCAGTTTGATACAGCTGATGTACTGATAGTTCAGGAATGTATGTTATATTTAGGTGTAGGGATGTGAATTAGTGAAAATCAAATATCTCCTGACATCAGAAGACATAGTTAGTCCAATGTCACATTGCACATTATCTGACTTGGTCTATCATTTGTCCTCATTTGATAAGGAACATAAATAAAACTTCATTCATTCATTTTTTCTTACGTTCATCCATTTATTCATCCATCAATCCATGTGATAGATTTATTAAAGAGAAATATGAAGATTCATTCATTTGTTCATTCATCCATCCAATCAACCAGCCATACATTTCATAGAGAAATACAAAGATAAATTTGTCCTCATTTAGTAAGGAACATAAATCAAAATTCATTCATTCATTAATTTATCCATCTATCTATCCATATAATGAATTTCTTAAACCGAAATACAAAGAGAAATTTCACAAAGACTGTATCTTTAAACAAGTGTTTATCCACTCTAATATTATTACAATATGGTGACTTAGTTTCTTTTAGTCATTTTCTTTGCCTTGTAAATAATAACTGTGTGAATAGAGAGCTGATTTCAAGGAAATAATGATAAAAACTTTATATCCAGTTTATTTTAACAATGTAGTGAACCTATTTGTAACATGCAAGAGGGCAAGATCTTGGGGTGGACTGTAAAAAATTGTCTGTGGCAATCCCTTACTGTATTTGAAATAAAAATCTGTACATGCAGACAATCTTGTCTAAGGAATGGCAAAATCGGGAGTAAAAGTTGTATAGTTGTGGACTCCTCCAAAGTGAAGTACCGTCAGGTGTTTTGAAAAGAGTAAGCATTCTAAAGAAATAACCAATTTTTACTGCATTCAAAGTTTCAAAGTTGAAGGATGCAAATTCATCAATTGATATATAATATATTTGAAAATTTTATGTAACTTGATTTTCAAATAAAAGTTAATGATGATTGGTGTTAAATTTTGTTGTAATTAAATGCTTCATATTTTCAAATAAAAAATTGTATCTGATTCATTATTGTCTGATGATGTAGGTCATAAATTCTAAAGGGGCCCTCACACTATAGCGATTACTGGTTCCGTATGGTTGCAAATAATGAAAATGATCATGTGTACCAAAAAAAATCACAACTCAGTTGCATTCAAAACTTATGACTGCTATTTTTATTCGTAGAAATATATGCACCTGGTGATCGCTATGGTGTGAGGGCAACTTGAAGCTATATATTCAGTGTATTAACTAATATTGCCCGATTCGATTTATATGTAAAAATAGATATTCTATTTCAAATGTCAATATCATACTTATGAATTTTAAAAATTAAATGAACAGGTCAAAATATGTTAATCTTGGCTCAATACCAGAATTTAAAAAAAACTTAATGAGAGTTATTGCACACCTCTGTATGAAAATTTACAAAAATAATCAGAGCTTTAAATTTCAATAACTTTGTATTTGAGTAGTGTAATTGGTCTTGGCAGGGTCAAATTATCAGCTTAAAGTTGAGTTTTATTTATCATATAGCAGGTCAATATAAATTATAAGTTGATTATTAAGTGCAATTGCATTGGTCGAAATAAAATTTTAAAATTATCGTGAAATATCTTTAAAGGCTAATACAATGTGACCCTCACTTGTGACAAATTGTTAAATAGAGGAGATAAAATTTGTAAAAGTAATATATAATCTGGTAAAGAAAATGTTTATCAAGAGATAAACAATGGGGGTCATTGACAAGATTTGGTTGTATTTAACATAGAGTGAATATTATAGCTTTACTTGTCTCTAAATACAACCATGTAGTTCTATTACACTATCCACCTTTCATTGTTGCTTCAGGCTGGTCCAGGACATTTGTATTCTCATTAACTCTACAGAAATTCTTATAAAATTTAATTATGTAGAGTGATAATTTTGATAAGTGTTTAATTTAAACAAATTGATTGTATATATTGCATTAATGTACATTAAAGATGTGATATCCTGGTTCAGGACATTTGCACAAAGTTTTTTATCCTGTAGAGTTCTAACTATATAGTACAATAATTTTGATAAGTGTTTAATTTAACAAATTAATCTTATGTATTTGTATTAATCTGCACAAAAGTGAAAAATATGATATTCAGCAGGCAATATATTGAGAAATAAGTAAAATATACCATAATAGATACCATGCCATGTGATTTGTTAGGTACATATATATGATCATTGACAGTAAGTTAGATGTAGTTAGTTAGCTGATTAACCTAAGAATCCAGGGTTCCATTCTATTATAAATTCAGAAATACCTTTGGATTTTAAAACATGTTATGCGCTGTCATTGATGGAAAAATATGATATTCAGCAGACAATATATTTAGACATAAGTAAAATATACCATAATAGATACCATGTGTTGATTTGTAAGGCACATGAATATCTGATCAGTAAATTAAATGTTAGCTGATTAATCTAAGAATCCAAGGAT